ACTCCAAAGAAGTGTAATATCCAGATGTCTTTTGCCCAAAAGAAAATGTTTCGTGATAATCCACCAAAACTGTTTTTTTCCATAGAAAATTAAAAATATTTAAGGAGGGCCGGCCCTCGCACGCCGAAATTGGTATCACAGATTAGCAGTTCAAGCCTGGTCATGTAAACATAGCTAGTGATCTGTTAAAAGGGAGATTTTCCTCTCACTGATGCAGCATGGATGATCGGAGTGAGGGATTGCTACCAAGTCATTAATAAAATGTTATTAAATGTCTACCTGGTCTATATGCTCATCCAGGAAGAACGAACCCTGCAAAGTCATTGACTGGATGAAATCAGCTATTTATCATAGATAGAAAATATTCAACCAATCTAAACCAGGTTCCATGATAAAACAAGCTAAAACGTTCAGCCCTGAACAGAAATTATATCCCCAGTTTGTTTTTCTCCTCATGCTGCTCATCCAAACCTATCTTCTTTGGTCTCACCCCTCCAGCGGACATCTTTAAGGATGTTTTGGCGATATAGAGCTGTAATTTCCTCTCCACACTCAACTGATGAATCAATATTCACTTTTTAAAAGACTTTGATCTTAGATCATATGATAGAGCATCAATTTCTCCTTATTTTCCATTGTTCTGTCAACATTTAACAAGAACATGGAGTGATAAACAATCTGATGATGCAATCAGGATGAAGGATGCTGTTTGGCTACCTGCCAAACACCTGTGACAGATTCACTGTTTATGAGATTTTTATAAACTTTCTTTAAATCCTTTCGCCTCTTTTGTCTGTTTATTTATATTTTGCTGTCCGCAGATATTAAACAGACAAAACTGTTTGCTATACCTTTTAGTAATTTATTATGACCTTATTACCCTCCTTTACTTCATCCTCTCCTTGTTTGATTAATGAATTATAAAGTTTCCAGCAAAAGACATTAACATCCTCCCAGCATCCCATTACAGCCGCATGGTTCGCACTGTTTTAAGAGAAAGTAAAAAAGGCCTTCTATCAATATCTCCACTTGAGCCATATCGGCTTCCAAAAAACTAGATTAATAAAATTTTAGTAATAATTCAAATTATATAATCCACATTTACATGAAGGGATCAGATTGAAAGCAAACTTTGAGATACCTGTTAAAATTGGTTTAATAAGTAAGTTCTGACAAAACCGATTTGTGTCATGATGCTTTTAAGAGATCTGACCCACAAGCAGTAAACTACTCAGAGAACCAGGGGAAAAGTTTAACAGGTTTATTGAGGTGAACCACAGGGGGTGGAATCTGGAACTCAGAGAGTTCTAGAAGTGAGAAGGGAAGTTCACAGTGATTAGTTCAGGGGCCGTAGGAAATTGGATTGAGTTCTTGAATACAGTGGAAAAGTGGTTTATCCAGAGGAAGGGGAACTCGTTGGAGGGCGGACAGGTTGGTTTTGGTTGGACCCTGAGGAGCAATTGAGCAGACCGCCACTTGGATTTTCATAGGGACTTGAATGGGTTGTGTGGAGGTTTTTCCCCTGCTCAGTGAGAACACAAACGATCCTTCCAGGGGGAAAAGGCCAAACATCCAGTTTGAAGGAAGGCTTCCTGCCGAAAGGCAAAGACAAAAAAACAACATTAAACTCAGTGAAACAAAGGCTCAGGTTAGACTCAGCTAATCTCAGCTTTGCTAGAGTACCCAAAACTGGCAAACACTCTGGCGTCAAGGTAGTGGCAGTCAACAGCTCAAATACTCCTCAGTGATGAACCAACCAGCCGCAGGTGTGCAGGAGGACCAACAAGGACGGGGCACCACCTGGTGGTGGAGGGAGAGACAAACACAAAAACAACCCACACAAACTGTATTCCTAACAATTTGGAAAAGAAGCTTCTGTCTAAGCTGTGATTTTTATAATCCTCCTATTTATATGTAGCTTTTTTATTATACTTTTTACTTTGATTAAGTAGAAGTTGCCCAGACTGTCTGATCACATCATTTAAAATGTTTAATCTAAAGTTTTAATCCTACATTTACTGAAATTGAGTAGCTATTTTAGCACCTTTTGACTCCTCCTTGAGTTTTTTTTACTTTCCACCTTTATTTTGGTGAGATGATGATGAAGTTGTGCTACTTTTACTTCTAGTGCTAGGTTACCCTACCTTTTCCACACTAGAAGAATCGATGATGTTGCCGACATTGCATCTCTACTTCAGAAACTCCCAGCCATGCTGTGCTACATCATTGTCTCTGTCACATGACCAAACACAGATCACATGTCCAACCCCCTACACCCCCCTCCTGGAACACAAGATGGAAATAGACATTGGTTATTAACATACTCCCCGCTTTAGTTATTGGACAATGACTGACGCAGGCTGATACTGGCATCAATGTCTATATATCGTACATCTCTATCCTGAGGGTTGTGATCAGAGTGTAGAGGAAAACGTTGTGGGCACCACTCTGCAGCGCCGGGTCACATTAAATCTCAATGGGTGGATAAACAAAGCTGGTTTGTTTATAACAAAGTGCAGTAATAACCCAGCAGTTTTTTTCCCTCTCCGCTAATGCTACTCTGCTGGTAATCTAATGGACTAATGTTGTGTGATCAGCATCAGCCTCAAGGGGAAGAGAAAAACCACAGAGGCATCTTTTTCTAACACTAATGTTTGCTGTTTTGGCTGATCAACAAAGTGGAAAACTGCTCTGCACTTTATCATCTATCATCTTAACTCTCACGTCAGACAACACTGAATTTACTCCAGTCTATCAATGACCTGCGGCCCATCAGATTAAACTAATATATTTTTACTCAGATAACTTGGAACCAAGAGAACACTTTGATGTCTTTAATTCTCTCCTATAAGACTTTCAGAAAGTTTGGGAAAGAATTCAGGTTTTTATGTTTATCTTAAAAAGATTAACAGAGACATGAACGTCGTAACAACATTGAAAATTATCTGACCTCATCTAACTTGTGCGACTTTTATTCTTATTTTGTCCATTCAGGGATTTGTAGCAAATTAACACAAAAAAATAAGTTAAAAAATCCCACAAAAAACCCTAACGCTACCTTTTAACTTAAAGGTATAGTGGAGGATTTTTCATGAATTTTTGAAAAGACCTTCCCTCTCCACTTAAAAAAAAATGCATGTGCACAACCTTGTACAAGCCCGTCAGAGGGAACGCCTATTAAATGCGTGTGAGAGTGTGCACAAGCCCATTTCTCCTCGTGCACGCTCTGTTTAAAAGTTGCTGTTTGCATCGCTCATTCAAGCTTACTTTCCAGAAGATTTGCAATTTTTCCACTCTTTCAGACTCACCACTGGCAAGTTATAACGGGGACGAGCACATAGGATGCCCTTACATAAACATATCACCAGAATGATTGACAATTAGGAGCATGGATGCAAGATGCAAGAAGTAACTTCAGCATCCAATCACAAAACTCTGCTGCAGTGGCACATCAGATGTTTGTAAAGTGAGCTCCTCAGGAGTGACAGCGGTGACGATCACACAAGAAAAGATGGTGGGCCAAGCAGGAGCTTGTGGAAGGTTTAAACTCAGGGAAGTGGGCTTACCACTTGGTCCTAGTGACCAAGACGCTTATCTGTGTACTGTAGCGTAACATTATTTTTGGACAGTAAAAAGTGCCGGGGAAAATCGCCCCCTCCAAATGACGTCCATGACCCAAACATGGAGAACATTCACGACTGTCCATGATTAGGACCACTTATTTTGATGATCCATCTGGATAAAGAACATCCTTCACTATATCTTTAGGAGCAGACTTAAAAGAAATGCAACAAGTTTAATGTTTCACTTATAAGTGCCTGAATGGAGGCTGGGAGGCTCCAGGTTGTATCCTGCTTTTCATCCAGCGGCCTTTAAAGCCTCCCATCACTTTGTGATAAAAAAAAGCCACAGTTTTTGTAATCAATCTTGGTGTTTTAAAAAAGCTTGATATACAATGTAGCATGACAAGAGCCTTCAGAAGAAAAAGTGGCCCATAGCATAACTAATCCTCTACCATGGGAACATTAGGCACATTTTCTCAGGTTGATCCCTGGTTGTTACTGTGTTTTCCTGATTGATACTCTTGTTGCTATTAAAAAAAAAGGGTCTTAAGCTTCAATCAAGCAGCTTTTATTAATCTCTGCCAGGAAGAACAGATGCAAGTTTTTGCCAGTTTTCTGTCTTTTTCAGTCATCAGACAAAGTGTTGCACTCTTTAAGCTGTGAGGGAGACCTTAATCCACACACATTTCAGACAGTTAATGCTAAAATAACCTTGAATTAAAGGAGTCTGGCTCCATTTCCAAAATATCCCATACTAAAAAAACAGCTTATCAGGCATTAGTATAATAAGCCTCAGGCTTGGGCTGGTCTAGCAGGTGTTGCCTGACGAATACTTTGATGCTGTTATAAAAACAAAACTTGGTTCCAGGTACTTAGAGATTCGCTTCCATACAGAAAGCCAATATTCTTATCTTCAGCTACCACAGTATACACGTCAGATTAAATAATACTACTTATACTTCAGCGATAGTATCAAGGTGCTACTTTAGTGTATCTCTTATACTATATCCGTTGGTTGTGCTGTTCTTCTTACATCTCTTTGCAGGTGATGAAGCAGACTGAAGACGTTCTATCATTGTCTCTCTTTCATCTCTTCTTTCTTTCATCTTTTCTCCTTTTTCCTGTTTTTCTTTCCTGTTCTATTTACATTGCAGTGTCCATATAATCTGTAATACTCCCTGCATAATCTTAATAATTCTATTCATAAGCATAAATCAATGGCGATAGCTGTACTGCTCCACTTGTGAAAGCAAAATCTGTTGGGCCTTTTTTTGGCATCAAGACAATTATACTTATTGCCAAACGGCCAGAAAGGACATTGTTAAAAAAAAAAAAAATTAAGTTTATAAAATGGAAGAAAATCGGAATAGATGAGATTATTTCCCACCACACTGTGAAATCACGATGACCTAATCGATATATTTTTTTTAATTTCAGAGTCAAACTTCAACCCCACGGGTTTCTTGGCTTCCAACCAACAATATCTCATTGCAGAGACTTTGACTTCACCCTCTGTGGGAAATGAATGGGAGGCACAACAAGTTGTCGAAACAAATGATAAATTCTCTCTACAGAATTTAGATTTTAGTCACCAAAAACCAAATGCGAGAGATTCCCTTCTGTTACCTGATTGAGGAGACTACAAACAATCTGGAGGAGGCCTTTTGGATACTTCATCTTTAGATAACAACCCAGCTACGATGGCAGACCATTACCAGAACAACACATATCACCAGGGAGGCGGGGACAGTTATGGGACTTACGGGGAAGGCGGCGGTCATGATGGATACGGATACCAGGCAGATTATCCTCCTCAAGAGGAGGACGCAGCAAGCGACGTGACTGAAGGACACGATGAGGAAGACCAGATGTATGAAGGAGAGTACCAGGGGATCCCACATCCTGACGAGGTCAAAGCTGCGCAGAGAGCTGCACGGTGAGGCACTGCACTGTTTAAACCTTCTGCACACCAAAACTTTTCAGGATTTCAATTAAGATGGGGTCCGGGCTTTGACTGGGCCACTGGAACACCTTAGTTTCCTCTCTACACAGGCTGGGTGCTGTCTTTTAGATTGTTGTTCTCCTCTGTTGCCAGGACATCCTTACATGTCTCTCTAGGATACTTTAGTACCTATAGGGGTTCCTGCTCCGCTCAAGACGTGACTTAAAACAAGCTCAAAACATCAGTTGTCTTCTAGTGTATCGCTGGCACTGTTACCGGTGTTTTTGTTAGTAGGCTGTTTGGTTTTCTCCAAACCTGGCTCTGCTCGTTGTGGCCATTCATCCCTAGAAAATCACAACAGAAGTATAGCACTGCATTTTGATGAGGAGCGCCACCTTATGGCAGCCTGAGTTCATATTTCTTGTTCTCTGATGTATTGTTTAATCTAGACAGTTGAGTGCGTCCTCATCATTACCAGGAACTCTGTGAAGTCTCAATTTGCTGATTCTTTTAGCTACAATGTAGTGCCGCCAGTGGCCATCAGGGGAGCTAAAACGTACAGATCTAGCTCCCCTAGTGGCTGAAAGTTAAACAGCGTTGCATTAAACTTTAAACTGTGCAGCAGAAGAAAAAACAAACCTCTCAGAGACTAAAAATACTTTGCAAGTAAAACGTTGGATATATTCCGGTTGAAAATAAAAAAGCAAAACAACCCCCCCACCTCCAGAAAAACTGCTTCCGGTTGATAGAGCAAAATATTTTTGACTGCTTCATCATCCCCTCCAGGGCCATTTTTTTTCCAATCCTGCTGGATTCTTTTTGCTCTTCCCCTTCTCTTCTTCTTCTTTTTTTCTTTATTTGTTGATTCCAAACAGCTTAAAGGTGCATGCTGCCACCAACTGTACAATGTAGCTCTGGATTTACCGACTTCGACTTTTTAACTTAGTATTATTTTAAATAAAACCCATCTCTAATAATCCTAATTTCCTTTCTTTCCCAGCCTATTCCTAATATTCACCGTAAACTCCATCGTCTCAATTTTTTGCTTATTTTTACTACTTATTTTACTACTTTACTTCTATGGCAACATTACTGCACCCCTCATTAGCCAGGCATAACTAAGTAAAGTAAGTAAAAGTGAAATCTATTTGTATTGTACTTTTCGCAGATAAAAATCACAAAGTGCTTCACAGCAAAAATGTAATACAACAAAACAATGTAGAATACAATGTATAGCAACATTTTAAAAACAGATGGAAACATACAAACAAAGCCATCAAAACCACATGTCTAATAAAAACACCTGCTTAAATAGCATCGTCTTCAGTTGCTTTTTAAAAGAATCAACACAATTCATACAGCGTAAAGAAGGAGGCAAAGCATTCCACAGCCTCTGAGCCACTGCCTGAAATTAACGATCCCCTCTGGATTGTGGAACAATGTTTGGCCCGTTGACCTCAGACTATGGGACGGAGTATAGAGCTCTATCAGCCCAGAGATGTAGGGAGGAACTTGACCATGCAGGGCTTTAAAAGTAAGAACAAGGATTTTAAATTGGATTCTATCAGGTTCAAATGTTGTGTCTCTTTTCTATGTTTCAGAGCAAAGTCCAGAGAAGGCGGTAGTGCCGCTTCTGAACTTGAGGAGTTGTCAGAGCAGTATGAAGACATCATGGAGGACTGTGGCCATGGGAGGTTCCAGTGGACGCTCTTCATTGTGCTGGGTTTGGCGCTGATGGCTGACGGAGTCGAATGCTACGTGGTTGCCTTCGCTCTGCCATCGGCAGAAAAGGATCTCTGTCTGTCCAATGCAGAGAAAGGAATGCTGGGTAAGAGCTGAGATTATAAATCCAGCTGAATATTTCCTCTGTGTCACACTGGAGTTGTAGTTAGCTTTGTTTCGTTGCAGCAAAAAAAAGGGTCCCGGGTTCAAACCCCAGCAATGCTTCTCTGTTTGGAGTTTGCATTTTTTCAATATACAGTTGGGTATAATCTGTTCTCCAACCACAGTTTAAAAATATGGATTTTAGGTAACTGGAAACTGCCCATTAGATCTTGCCCTGCCTTGGGTCCAGGGCAGGTCAGTGCGAGTAGCTATTACCTTTAAGGCATATAAACAAATAACTTACAGCAGAAAATTAAACAACAAATAAAAAAACAGAAGAAGAATTCCTCCACTTCTGTACCTGCTATCTCCTATCTCCAGCACTCATGTGGCATGCAGCATCCCTCATATGACATGTATATCATACATGTGTATAGACTTATAACATCATC